TCCCGCCCACCTGAGCCCGCCCCCGCGCTTCTCCCCAGCCCCTTCCGTCCGCGCCCTCCGGGGCGCCGATCTCGGCGCGCCCGGCCGGGGCTCCTGCCCGCCCGGACCTGGCCCGCTCCCCACCCGTTCCAGTCCGGCCCCCTCCGATCCCGCCCCCTCCCCCGCCAGCGCTCCAGCCCGCGGGCCCGCCGCTTTCTGGGCGTGTTTCAAGAGCTGGGCTTAAGGCCGACCCGGTGATGCCAGTCCACTTCAGCTTCCCGCACTGTGCGCCAAACGGGAACCGGCCTCCCTGCCTGCGCTCCAAGTTTCGGTCAACGATCGCCGGACAGCTGCCACGTGCAAGACTACGAAGACGCGAAGACGGTGAAGCCCTGTGCAGACATTAACAAAGGCTGGGGATGATCCACATTCTGATCCTGCTTATGCTGGAAAATATTTTAATCACTCAAATCTAGCCGGATTAAATTCAGTCTGTACACACTGTGGGAAAGCTTTGTGGAAGCTTTTTTTAAAAGTCAACGCTACTGCAATTCCAGCTAGAAATGCATTGAGAGGTATGATTTGGGCAAAAATCTTGTGGAACAGGTAAGAACTTGGCTGAAGGAGTGTTTTGTGTTTGTTAGTTTTGCTGACCTCAAACCAGACTTCACCTCTGATGATTCCGAATTGGAGAAGCCTTGCAAACACAGGACTAAAAAACAGGAAGGATATGGACTCACAATGCAAACCAGTTGCTGGGGAATGTCTGGAAAACCTACTTCAAGATTAAATTGGCTCACAGAAATAAATCCACAGACAGGTTATCAGGAGCACCCACTAGAAGATCAATTACAGCATCTCACCCGAGACACACACATGTACACTTACAAAAGAATAGGAATGCTGTGTGTCTGGAGAGAATTTAAATATTACTAAGAAGTTGGGCCTGTGAGAAGTTAGTATTAGGCAGAGTGATTTGCACAGAACCCTAGAATCAGTCAAAGGTTATTGTAATTGCACCCCTTATTTTCATCTTTATGGATACTCACATGCTTTGCTTTATACCATAAACCATAGACCATAGGTTTACACCATAGACCTTGAATAACATGCAGCTGCTTTTGCCCAAATGCTTCTTACGCCCCTTGTTCCACCTAGGTCAGTTCCTACACATCTTTTAAGACTTTTCAAACATCAAGTGTGAAAACAAGTAATTCCAAATCTAAACGGTTAGAACTCTAAATTATTTTGAACCTTACAGGAATGTGATTATATAGGGCCTGAGTCTTGTAACAGGCAGCTGTAACCTAGGCAGCAGGTACCTAAGCGGCCATAACCTTTGTTTCTCTGGTTATAGATTAATCTTCTTCCTCACCTGCGTTGTTTTTGTAATATGTTGTAAATCACTGATTTGCACCCAGGAAGACGCCTTCTCTCCTCACTGTTGACCTTCATTACAGATTGACCTCCCTCTTACCTTTCTCATACAAAGACTTCATAGCAATTACATTGTCTTAAAATGGAATGTCAAATATACTCTTTTAAATTGGAAAGGACATGAAAACAAACAACAGAAAAAGAAGCACTGTAACTAATTAAATTGTTGTAACTCATAAACCAGCCTTATATAAAAAAATGTTGTAATCCTGTTAAATTTGGTTTTTTGTCTATATAAGCAAGAACTTAACTTTTAACTTTGGAACACTAACTCCATTTCCCTGGAGTCTGTCTCCCAAGTGACTATTCCCAGCTTTTTGGTTGAATAAACTCTTTAAAGCTGAATTCTGATTCTTTCAATTATTTCAGGTTAACACAGAACAGTGCAAAGTTCATCCACTGTGGAATTCGAAAGACCTGGAATTTGCAACTCTAGCTGTGTGGCATTGATCAAGTTACTTAATCTTTCTTGCCCTTAAATTTCTTATCGTAAATGGACATAAATAACTACTTCTGAAAGTTATTGTGGGAAGTAAACGTGACAGTATATGAAGAGATCCTGTAACACATAGCAGGTCTTCAGTTGGCATTTAGCGGAAGCTGTTATTACTCCACCATCTCTGAAGCCTTTCCCAGTTACACCTATACTGACAAGAGTAGTTCTCTTTCCTTTATGTTCTGGTATTACTTTAAACACACACTTTTAAGTTCTCACTTCACAATATGATCATAATTCATGTGCATGCCTGTCTCCTCCTCTAGATTGTGAAATCGTAACAGTGTCGTTCAGTTCTTAGCCATCCAAAAACAGGACGCTCAGTAAATGCATATAGAATGAATGAATGAATGAGAAACTTTGTGACTGTCTTTTGCAGTTGTGTGAATTAAACAGCCAGGCTAGCAGACAGAACACTTAAAATGACTGTGGTACGCAAGCAAAGTAAGAAAATTTGTTTGCCCTCCATCTCCACTCGCTGCATTCATCAGAGTGAATGAGATTTTTATTAGAAAGGTCATGTTTGTATCTCACCCTATGCCCTGAGAGCAGGATTGCCCTAGGCAGGACAGGAGGAGCCTTTGTTCTGGATCCATGCTTTAGGAGAGTCTGCACATCACAGACACACACACAAATGTATCAGAGAACACATGGGCAGGCACCTCTGCTACTTGGAATCTCACACTCAGCGCTGGAACACTGCAAGCTGTCATCTGAAACACCCCCTGACATGAATAACAAACCCCAGGGAAATGCTTCTTCACAACTTCTGCCCTAAGTCCTTGAAACAAAAGGCAGCTACATCCCAGTGCTTTGAAGGTCAAGGACTGTGCCAGGGTAGATAGACACTGCTTCAAAATGCAAGTTGGTTATGAGCATGGAAGTGCTTAGGTGATAGACAAGAGAAACCAACTTGTCAAATCTCTTCTCTCAGATACCCTGGATGCAATCTATTCCATTTCCCACTGGTGCCAACCATCCCTTCTTGTTTCTCTTCATGCTCTAACCAGAATATTCACAAAGTTGTGCAGTATCTGCAGTAATTCACATGGAAGCTGAGGGACATTATGTAATATTAAATGATTCATATTTCTCTTAAATGTGTATATTTTTAGGCATAACATTTCACGAAGCATGACAAAAACATTGAACACTATAATCATAAATAGCTATTTAAGATTTCATTACATTTTTATAGGTTAAAATTTGTCAACATTATTAAATAATGTAAATTTAATTTTTAATATTAGTTTATTATAAATTATGTTTTATTTTAACTTTTGTGGATGTTTTGGATATTTTAGAAAAAACACCATTTAAAAAATTATTTTATTTTGAAATTTATATTTTTATGGTCATGGGTTAGGCAAAGGCTTCTATATGACACCAACAGCACAAGTGACAAAATTTTTAAAAAAACAATAAATTTAACTTCATCAGAATTGAAAGCTTTGTGCTTAAAGGCCACCAAAAATGACGGGGGGGAGTACCACAGAATGACAGAAAAGATTTGCAGATTATCTAATAAGAGACATATCTAGAATCTGGGATGACCTCTTACAATTCATTTATAAAAAAATGCAATCTTGAAAATGGACAATAAATCTCTATGGACATTTATCCAAAGTAGATACACAAATGGCCAGGATGCACATAAAAAGATGCTCAACATTAATAGTCGTCAGGAAAATGCAAATCAAAACCACATGGAAATATAACTTCACACTAAGAGAGCCATGCTGACAAAGACAGACAATAACAAGTGTTGTTGACGATGTGGAGAAACTGAAACCCTCATACACTGCCAGTTCCTCAGAAGTTAGAAAATAGAGTTACATATAACCTAGCAATTCTCTTAGGTATCCACCCAAGATAAATGAAATGCATCCACACAAAAATATGTACACAAATGTTTATAGCAGCATTATTCATAATAACTAAAAAGTGGAAACAATCTAAATGGCCATCAACTGATGAATTAATAAATAAAATGTAATATGTCCGTACAATGGAATATTATTCCCCCATAAAAAGGAACGGAGTACTGAAACATGCTACAACATGGATGAACCTTGACAACATTGTATTAAGTGAAAGTGGCAAGTCTCAAAAGATGACATTGTGTGATTCCATTTATAGGAAATGTCCAGAATAGGTAAATCCATAGAAACAGAGTAGATTAATGGGTGCCTACGCGTGGAGGAGGAGGCAACAGTAATGAGTGACTAATGGGGTGATAAAAGTGTCCTAGAATTAGGTGGTGATGATAGTTGCTTGCACAACTCTGAATATACTAAAAACTACTGAATTTCACACATAGAGTTAATTGTACAGCATATGAATTCTACTTCAATAAAGACATTTTTAAATGCTAATAATAGCACTCAATAAATATCAAACCATGAATATTGTCTATCGTACAAATGTTACAGGCATCCACTCTTTATCTTTCCCTTAGCATCCAAGTCTGAACCAGAATACCAGGCTCTTAATTTATCTACAGGTACATTTGCACACTGTTCAACTGCTCATTACAAGATGATTCGTTGGAGCATTGTAACAGAAAAAGATTGGAAACAAACTAAAGGTCCACGAATGAGAGAAATGCTTGAATAAGTTATGGTGTATCCACTCACAAGAATACTCAGGATTCATTAAAAACAGAAGAATGAGGAAGCTCTTTATGTTTGGATATGACATGTTATTGGAAGAAAAAGGTGCAAAACAGTGTAGGAGAAAATAGATAAGCAGACGTGTGTGTGTGTGTGTGTGTGTGCGCGCGCGCACACGCACGCATGTATTTCCTTATGTGTCTGGAAGAATAGCAAAACTTAAACAATAACAAAAAAAAATACTAAGGTTATTCTTTAGCTCCAAGGAGGGAAATTAAGTGACCATGGAACAGAGAAGTTTTCATTCTATAACTCTTCGTGACTCTTCAATTATGAATCTTGTGAATGTACCTGCTATTCAAAAATAAACATAACACAAAAGGCCACATATTGTATGATTCCATTTATATGAAATATACAGAATAGATAAATCCATAAACACAAAGCAGATTTGTGATTGCCAGGGGCTGGGGAGAGGGGAGAATGAGTATCTCAGTTAATGAGTTAATGGGTATCTCAGTCTTTTCAACTACTGTAGCAAAACACCATAAACGAAGTCCCTTATAAATAACAAATTTTTCTGTTCTGGGGACTGAGACGTCCAAGCTCAAGGCACCAGCAGAGTTGGTGTCTGGTGAGGACCTGATTTCTGGTTCATAGATGGCTGTCTTCTCACTGTGTCCTCACATGGAAAAAGAGTGGAGGTATCTCTCTGGGGCCTCTTTTATAAGGATGCTAATCCCATGAGGGTAAGGGCTGTATTTTCATGACTTAGTTATCTGCCAAAGGCCCCATCTCCAAATACCAGCACATTGGGGATTACGTCTCAACATATGCATTTTATTATTCGTCTATAAGGGTTTTACTTTGGAGTGATAGAAATGTTTTGGAATTAGATAAAGGTGGTGGTTGCACAACATTGTAAATGAACCAAATGCCACTGAATTGTTCACTTTGAAATAGTTAATTTTTACATTTCATAAGTTATTTTTTAAAAGAAAGAGATAAGGGTACCTGCATAGTGAACATTTGTATACCTAACCCTGCTTTGTACCCACATCTTTTTTATTTTTTTATTTATTTATTTTTTAATTGGAGTCTCACTCTTGTCACCCAGGTTGTAGTGCAGTGGCACGCTCATGGCCGCTGCAGCCTCGACCTGTTGGGTTTAGGTGATCCTTCCACCTCAGCCTTCCAAGTAGCTGGAACTACAGACATGTGCCACCAAGCCCCGCTTATTTTTTGATTTATTGTAGAAACGAGGTCTTACCAAGTTGCTCAGGCTGGTCTCAAACCCCCGGGCTCAGGCAATCCTCTTACCTCAGGCTCCCAAAGTGCTGGGATTACAGACTGAGCCACCATGCCTGGCCTGTACTCCACATCTTTAAAATAAAAAAGAGATGAGGAGAGAGGGAAATAGAGAAGGGAATGAGGGAGAAAGGGAGGAAGGGAGAGCAGGAGAGAGGGAGGGAAAGAAAGAGGCAGCAGTGCAATCACAGGGAGGCAGTTGGCCTGGAGGGGTTTTAAGCTAAGAGATTCTCTTCATAATTGAATAGTCACAAAGAGGTATAAAGTGATCAGTGTAATCAGGTAGTACTGCTGAGCAGCCCTGGCAGAAGGATGGATCCACTTAGGAGGGCTCCCAGAGCAGACTGGTCACACTTCCTTCTGGCTGCTGGACCCTCCGCTGCAATGCTGGTGGTGTATTCCCAATCTACAGCACACCAATTAGCGCGAGATACAGCCTCCACCACCCACCCACCACTGTAAGGACCTAGAGCACAATCACTCATCATTTCTGTCCCTCCTCAGCACCACTCCTAGAAGGCCTCAAATGCCCAGCCACCTCCAGCCCCTCCTGCACTGGGGTACATTCCCACCTGGTTGCCTAGATGGCCCTAAGGCCCATTATGACCAGGTAGCTTCTGTTTTTACAGTTTAACACAAAAAGCCAATTGTTCTTATAGGATAGTAGGGGTAGAGCCTGATCCCATCCAGAGACCCCCCAAAAAACTTCCACTCCCCACAGCCTCATTCTGTCTTTTCTTCCTTCCAAAGACCATCGAGACTGCTCTGGCAACTTGACCACCAGAGCAAGGAAAAAACCGCCACTGGCTCCACTGTACAGTTGTCACTCTGTGCCTCTACTTACCTCTTTCTGTCCCATTGCCTTCTCATTATCACCTTTCATCAGAATATGCCCATATCAAAGACAAATTCTCGCCACATTTCCCTCCCCACTCTAGTCCCCTTGCTTCCTTACCAGCCCAGCCCCTTATCACCTAAGTGGCCTCCTTACCTTTTCCTTGTTACTACGGTTGAGGCTCACAAGTCAATCCCCCAAAATATGGCATCTTGCCTCAAGGTCTTTCTTCAGCTGCTTTCTCTCCCTGTTATCTGTTACAGGAAAGGAGAAGAAAGGCTGTAATCAGACCTGGTCCAACCATTTCATGTGTGTCCCTCAACAAAGTTGAAGTTTGTTTATTCGCCGTTCAAAGGACACTAGTTACAAGTCATTCTCGGTCTCCTCCATGAACTTATCTCCTCAATCATTTGTTGCTCTTCAGCAGAATCCCTCTTCTTCCCCCTTCCATAACCTGTTTTATCAGAATCCAAGCCCCATTCTTTCTGTAACCCCAAGATAGTGTTTAAGTTTCTGCAACTCATTGGGAAGTTGGCTCTTGATACTGAAGGCTGCCATGTATACACGTTAAATAAATCTGTATGCTTTTTCCCCTATTACTCAATCAGCCTATGCCAGTGATTTTTCAGCGAACCTTTAGGGGGTTAACAATCATGGCCCCCCACAGTTTGGAGTAGTGAAATAGGATGAACAAAGCTGCTTTTCTCTTCTGGAAGTCACAGGGAAGGGAATCCAGGAACTTCATCTGCCAGCAAAGGGGTAATCCGGACTCCTAACTTATCTCTGTGCACTCTGGTGAGAAGACAGTAAAAATCAGTATCTCATCTACAAGGTTTTGATTAATGAGAAAAAGGATTTGTGTGACTTGTCACGCGTTGTAGTGACTCTGGTGTCCTTCTGGTTCTTTGAGAGGTAAATATTCATATTATTTGACCTCTTTCCTCTCAGAAGTAACTTCTTGTGGTCATTTTCCTTTGTTTTCGTCTTTCAGTGTTGTTCTGTCATAGAGAGGGATATCATAGGGTGGAACACAGCCCTAGAGCCCTAAAGAGTCTGCTCAAGCAGGACCTGCAGTTTGGTCTGTTTTGCGGTTCTGACTAGACCAGCATCTGCTAAGATAAACTTGACTGTGAGACCCCGAAACAAAAACTGGATGAGGCCTCCCTGTTGTCTTCTGTTCACATTCTCGAGACCTTGACTTTAGTCTTGGTCTTTCTCTCCAAAGGTTGTGAATTTTGGAGTTCATGTCAGGTGGCCAGTCTGTTCCGGACCTGTCAAACCCTTTGGGGAGTTTTGTCTTAAAGGTCCTATCCCTATGGGGCTTTTGTCATCTTTTGCTATCTTAAGTCTATTTCTGAGAGTGAATTTGGGGGGGTCGTGAGGATTGTCTTCTCTGTGCCCTCTCCAGGAACACCTCTTGCTCACATGGTAAAAAACAAAAACAAAAAAACCTGGACCATGGTAAAAACCATGGTAAATTACCATCAGGGCTTGAAATAAGCTTTTAAATTGAGTCACTATTAAACTAAGTGCACCATTGAAAATAAAAAATATTTTAGAGATCTCTCATACTAAGCAATTAATAGAAAGGCTAAATTAAAAGAAAGACATAACAGTGTCACAGCTAACCTTAAAAATTCTCTCAATTAAATTAAAGAGCAAATAAAAAATATTTTAAAAAATTATTTGTAAGCTCAAAACTGCCTACTCTAGCCTTTAGTTAAGGTTCTGCCCTTTTAGCCTGGCAACCTATGTTCTATTCCTGGCCAGGGGATGAGTCCTTTCGGGTTTAATATTTGTGTTTGCCACATGTGTCTGTGGTTTTTGCCATTTAACAGTGGTTAAGACATTTGGGAAGATACCTTCAGTAAAAAAAAAAAAAAAAAAAAATTTAAGTCAGAAAAATATCAGCTGTTTGTCCCAGCAGTGACAAACCGTAGTGAGATTTGAAAAGAATTTTTTAAGACCTGTATAGTTAAAAGTCATCTTAATGAAAAGCTAATTAGATATAGATGTGGATATGGATATAGATATAAATATAGTGCCAAAAAAATGTATACACATTTTAAGTATGCCTTTCGCACAAAAGATGGCCTTAATCAAATGAATGCTAGTGTCACCATATGACAGGTAGGGCAGTCAAAGAAAATGGCAGACGCACAGTTGCCTGAAAGTCATCCGACACGTCACTGCTGTAATTTAATTCAACTTCAAAAAGTAATGCATAGATAACATCTCTTAAAATGTGTATACCTTTTTTTGGAACCCATACATATATAAACATTTTATATATGCTTTTCTCTTTATGCTTTTTCTCTTTTTAGATATTTTTTAAGGAATTTTTTTAGTCAACTGAATTTTATGTTTCCCCATTTCTGTCTGTACCTCCCTCCTCTTGCCACCCTTGATGCCCTCGCAAAGAGGCTCTCTTTTGGGAGGAACTCCAAGAATTGTAAGCAGACATTCCTCTCAGGTCTAAAGCTCTGCTGCCTTTTGCATTGTGTTACTTAATCTTTTTGACTTTAGGGGGTACCAGAAATTACTTTGCTTTGCATTAAAAATTTGACTTTGGTATGCAATGACTAGAAAAAAATATACTTTTAGAGATGACTGGCAGTTACTCATGATGAATGGTTATTAGTTCTTTTCTTATGTGTCTGGATTTTTAAAAAGTGTGGTTTAGGCCCTGAAAGCTGCATGCTTGACTTCCCTTCCTTAAAGGGTTTCACCCTGAAGCCAGTAATTTAAAAAGTCAAAATACAACTTTCTGACAGGTAGCTGACTAAATCCTTTTATTTAAAAAGTTCATATCTTTAAGGAAATATCCATTTGTAAAGTTGTTTATCTGTTATTTTAAGTTTATAAGTCATACCTTTATTTAAAGTGCTTTTCCTGGCCAAAGTACTGAACATTTACTTACATCATTTTTTTTTCTTGGTTTAAACAAATGATGGTATAATAGTCAGGCTTGACGTCTTAATTTTGTGCTTAAATTCTCTATCTTGACCGGGATTGGTGGCTCAGCCTGTAATCCCAGCACTTTGGGAGGCCAAGGCAAAAGGATTGCCTGAGCCCGCGGGTTCGTAACCAGCCGGGCAACTTGGCAAGACCTTGTCTCCACAATAAATTTTTTTTTAAAAATTAGCCAAGTACGGTAGCACATGCCTGTAGTTCCGGCTACCTGGAAGGCTGAGGCCGAAGCCCAGCAGGCCAACCCTGGGGTGGCTGTGAGCGTGCCACTGCACTCCAGCCTGGGCGATAGAGTGAGACTCCAACTCAAAAAAAAAAAAATTCTCTATCTTGTTTCACCCAAGAATTGTCCCTCTAGAAATGCAAATTTCAAGTTGCCTCGGGCAATAAAACGGGTGATTTTAAAAGATGGACAGTCTAGAATGGGAAAGAGGAACTTTTAAAACTCAAAATGGAGAGGCTTATAAATCTATAAAATCTGCTTTGTCTGCATGTCTATGTATTTATACATGTCATGTGTATATAATGTTTTACTTCCAAAATATATGAAAGAGCACTCATGAATTGTCTTTTAATAACAGAGCATAAAATATTTTATCAAAAATGTAACAACTTTAACTCAGTGTCTTTTCATTCACATGACTTTAATGTTTAGCAAATAGAAACAATTTGAAATTATTGGTAAAATAAAAATGTCTTCAGAATTTAATTTAGACATTTTGTCTGAGTCTATTGGTCTGTTGGTCCCATACTATTTCTCATCGATGTTTCAGATATAAAATGTTGCCTCTGTAATACTTTTGTTAAACCCAAATTCAAAATCCGAGAGACCACCAAAGAGCCAGCTCTGGTGCAAACACACAAGGGTCTTTATTCAGGCTCGAGTCTGGGCTCACGTACAAAGCCGGCTGTGGCTTCAGGGACGAGAGCCCCGATCCAGTGTGGCAAGCAGTTTTTATACATCATTGCAGAGGGAGGGGAAAGAACTTTAAACTTGGTTTTACATGATTGGGTAATTTCTCCTAATGGGTACGGGAACACTTGGGATTGGCAGGTGCCTTTCGTGGGCTTCAACCTGACTGCCCATGATTGACAGAAACCCACTTAACGGGCAGAGTGGAATGTCA